GCCTGATCAGCCCTGGCAGGGCCTCCTTGGATGAGGGTGTCCAGAGATAATGGCCAAAACACCCGATGAATCCAAGGTCCACTGCTGACGATGTGTCCCAAATTTTAATATGATAATCTAGATCAGATCTCTAATCCCTAAACCTAACCAAGGAAGGTAAAAAATGGCAGATTAGCCTGGGTAAAAGACCGAAACACCCTGTGAAGCTGAGGCACAAAACGATGTGTGCCGCTGGTAAAGTTTCTGGGCTGCCTTTCCTCATAACAGCCATCCCTCAAGACTTTCTCCATTTGAAGCAATGCATTACCAGGGATTGTAACATCTAGTCCTTTTACTGTACCCATTTATATGCGCCTTTACTTATTTTAATGTGATTTATTCTTGTGCATTTAGACAAAAGTGATTATTCTGCTTTAGTTCTGCTTGACGTATCTGCAGCCTCTGACACCAGTAATCATGGGAGGTGTTGGTACTTCTGGTTCAAATGGTTCTCATCATACTTACCTGTTTGTCCTCATCGGCCCCCCTCACACGTGGGGTTCCTCAGGGCTCAATCCTTTGTGCAGTTTTCTTTCCTGGGCATTCTGCTAAACAGCTTCAAAGGCACTTCCTAGAATTTCTTTGCTGATGACACACAGCTGTATTTTTCTGTCAAGACAAACAACCTCTCCTCAGTGAATGCTCCACTGAGATTAAAAACTTCTGTTGTGCTAAAACTGAGGTTTTTATTAGTTCGGGCCTGAAGACATCTCTAAGCAGGTCAGTTATTACACCAGCCTGCTCTCAGGCAACATCAAATCATGTATTAAGGCCGTTGGTATTATTTATGAACAGCAAGTTTGAATCTCAGAGCTCAGCCAGTCTTGTTTCTTTCATTTAAGAAACATCTCAAAAATCAAACCTTCGCTGAAACCCAACAGTTTGGCACTTTTAGTGCACACTTGCATTTTCTGCTCGGACGCCTCCCTTGACTGTGTTCATGGTCCAGAACGCAGCAGTGAGGCTCCTTACATGAAGGTGCTTGCACATCACCCCTATTCTTGCTTCCCGCCTCAGTTTCCAGTGATTTTCAGAATTTGTTTAAAGATTTCTGAAAATCAGCCCTACATAGCCAGGCTCCTGTCTATTAGGGGTGCAACGATACTCGTATCGATATTGAACCGTTTGATACAGTGCTTCCGGTTCAGTAAATGGTAAATGGCCTGCATTTGTATAGCGCTTTTCTAGTCCCTAAGGACCCCAAAGCGCTTCACACTACATTCACACACTGGTGATGGCAGCTACATTGTAGCCACAGCTGCCCTGGGGCGCACTGACAGAGGCGAGGCTGCCGGACACTGGCGCCACCGGGCCCTCTGACCACCACCAGTAGGCAAACGTGGGGTTAGTATCTTGCCCAAGGATATTTGGCATGCAGCCAGGAGGCAGCCTGGGATCGAACCACCGACCTTCTGATTAGTGGCTGACCTGCTCTGCCACCTGAGCTACAGTCACCCTTACACCACGCATATGTATCGAACAATACAAAATTTTTTATTTATTTTATCAACTTTCCTTCTGACGTTGTGTTGAGCGCTCAGTGGATCTGCGCTCAACAGTGCAGCCTTGGCGGAGTAGTCGAACGCAGAGTAGTCGAACGCTCAGTGAGTCTGCGTTCGACTACTCCGCCAAGGCTGCACTGTCGAGCGCAGATCCACTGAGCGCAGCGCAAGCTAGCAAGACAGAAGTTAAGCTCTCCTTGCAACATGGACCTCCCCCACCCTCATTCAGATCTGCGTTTGGAACTATTTTGGTTTTCATGTGACGTATGAGCCTGAAGGTAAGCGCGTCATGGACTAAAGTAAAACAGTATGTTGGATGTGCCACGCAATGCTCAATTACATGGGTGGGAACTAGTGCGTTAGCGCAGTTAGCTCGTTAACGTGTTGGCCGTCCAGCCCCACGCACGGGGCGATCCACGGTAGCTCGTTAACGGAGATTTGCCGTGTTGTGGCGTTAACATCATTTCAGATTAACCTGACAGCACTAGTGGGAACACAACGAATATGACTGCACATTTACTCCGACATCATCTGAAAGAAATCTCCGTCCCGGGTTTCTCCGTGGATCGGGTTTCCTCCAAGGCGTGAGCACCGATAAGCAGAGTTTTGTCCTTTCCTTATAAGATTCCTAATTATTCAAAGTAACGCTCAGGTATGCCGTTCAGCCGGGTTAGTTACGACGTCGGGAGCAGTTAGGAGAACAAAATGATACAGAGACTGTTCAGGTTGCTCTCCCACAATCAACTCAAAGGTTTATTCAGTATACAACAGTTTATATAGAGGAAAAAGGTTCGTGTGTCAGCAGGTTCTCAGTTCAAACCGGTACAGACCAAATAAGGAAACGTCTTCCTGCCTTCTGAGCAAAGAAGTATCCTTTGTGTAGTTTATCAGTTCAGCTACAATTTATGATCATCCCAGCAAAATACACTCCTAGACATAGAATACAGAGTTCTTTCATTAGTGAATTCTGAAACAAACCACCTGGCCTTTAACGAGCTCTTTTCTAAAGGATAAGGAAGGGAGGATGGGAGTAAGGAAGTGGTCTCGTCTCTGTGGTATTTTCGACCTTGGGGTACCAGCCTGTGAGTCTTACACATTAATTCTTGGGTCACAGAGAAAGAGAAAAACTAGTAAATGGGCCTTATTGAGTAACAGTTTTCCTGTATAATATCACTATAAAACAATATCCTGTAAATGCTACCATGGTATCAAAATATCACAACATCATCCTAGTGCAAAGACAAGTGGAAGCAGACAAAAACAACAAGCACACATGCTACAAACTTTACCCGAGTCATTTAGACAGCCGTTAGCACAGGATTCTCCTTATGGGGACCTGATATGTTTAATATGCTGCTGAGAATATAGCCCAGAAGAAGAGTATAGTAGAGCTTTTATTTTGAAAGAGCCATTTCTCTGTAATAAACTCTCTTTTCCAAAGATGAGTGATTCCTCCATCAGATATTTATTATTTTATTACTTTGTTGTTTCAGCAACATTAAATTTAAAAACTGTACTTTTGAGTTAAAATATATATTTATAATTTTAATAAATGACAAATTAAAAAGGCATGAACATTTTTTGTATCGAAAAAATATCGAACCGTGACACCAAAGTATCGAACCGAACCGTGAATTTTGTGTATTGTTGCACCCCTAGTGTCTATATATGAGACCTTACAACAGCAGTCAGCCTCTCAAGTCTTCTGATCAGGGCCTTTTAACTGTTTCATGCACCTATTTTAAATCCAGAGACAATCACGCTTTTAAAGTCATAACTCCTAAGCTTTGGCTTCAGGTCAGCTGAATCTGTGGTTTGTTTTAAATGACTGCTGAAGAGTCATTTTTACAGGCTAGGATTAGCCCTTGTTCTTCTAATGTGCATATCTCACTGTGTGTTTCCATGTTTAAATATGAACACTTATCACTGTGTGATTTTATCCAAACTGTTAAGCACTTTGTAAATGTGTGTTTTAGAAAGTGCTATACAAATACTCATTCTTCTGCTTATAATTATTACTTATTATAAATGGGCATCAGTATTGTTTTAAAACCCTGCTGTACAACAAACAGCATGTAAGCTGAAGGCTGTGTAAAAATGGAGAACTCTCAGCCCCAACTATATGGATGACAGACTGCCCGACAGGACACAGTCTGTGAGATTGGGCAGTGCTCTGCCTGGTTTGGTGATGTGCAGGGCTCCACAGGGGATCGTGCTTTCTCCATTCCTGTTTACCTCGCACACCTCAGATTGTCAGTACAACTCCGGGTCACGCCACCTACAGAAACACTCTGATGACTCTGCAGTGGTTGGATGTATTGTATTTTAGTGATGAGCAAGCAACTGAACACAAGTAGACGATTTTGCTGAATTGTCTGGGGGGAATCACCTGCTTCTGGAAGTAAATAAGACCAGAGAGATGACGATTGACTTCATGACCCGTGTCTATCCTGGAACAGGATGGTGATGAGTTGCAGGGAGTACAGGCACCTACGCATCCACACTGGCAATAGGCTGAACTGGAAGACCAACACAGATGCTGTACACAAGAAAGATATGAGCATGGCCTATCGCCTAAGGAAGCTGAGATCCTTCAATGTGTGCAGCAAAATGATGCAGATTTAGTGTCCTTTGTCTGCTAGCAGCATCAGAGCTGAATGAAGTGCAACCTGGACTCTTTCCAGGATCCTTCTATCACAGATAATCCCGACCACTCTCTGCACCACTTAGTACTAATGGAAGAAAAACAGCACACGATTTACTTTGTGTGCATTTCTGCAAAGGTCTTCAGCTTACAGAGTCGTTTCTCACATTGTACCACAAGAGGGCGCTCCAGATCAATCTCACCACTGCAACTGTTCCATGTTATCCTCATTGTCACAGACTCATCCCATAGAAACACAAATCTTACAGTAAATGAGATTATACAAAAATGTTCTTGTAGCTCAGTAAGATAACGCCTCAATAATCACACCTGGCTGTCAAAAAAGAAAAAGGTTTTCCTGCAAGTGCAAGAGCCTACATCATATATATAAAATAAACCATTGTCTTAACATAACAATCCAAAACGGACATGACCTTGGGAATTTCTGTATCCTCATTAGACAGACGGGGAAACACTTCCCCTGTCCCGAAAACATCCGCTGATAGTTTCTCCCTCTCTCACATCAGGATCATTATCCCAACAGCCTGCTCTCAGCAGCGTTTAGCACATTTTGTCTGCAAAACTGTCACCAGAAGCACCAACGCAGGCTAGAAAGACACATTATAGGCTATTTATTATTTTGACCCTGACAGAAAAGTTGCTCCCCACAGTTCCTGCTCATTGTTCCCCTAACACCGTTTCCTCTGGGAAACTTTCAGCCTTGGGAGTGGGAGCTGGACGAGGATAATTACTGGAAGCCCTGCACGGGGGCAGGGACTGCGCTGGCTGTAAATGGCCCTTTTCTTTCGGCCTGATTGGGCCTGGACCACTCCCCCTCGTTGCTCCTCCATTGGTCCGAGCCCACATCAATCTGGTGATTTCCAAGTGCCCCTCAAGTTTGAAACTTTTTTTACGAGTGGGAGGAATCGAGTTACAGCAAACTGTGGTAACTGATCGCAGCAGCCGAGGGAAGAAAACACGCGTTCAATAATTTACACATCTGTGCCGAGGACACGGTTACAGAACAAAACCTGAACTGAACAGCAGCGAGGACGTTTCACGGCCGACACGCAGCAGAACGAGTGGAAGAAAACCTGAATATGCTGTGAAGTGAATTCATCTGCTCTGCCAGGATGAACTCTTTTCGCTCACAGTACTAACTTGCTGTGATCTGGCTGACCGTGTCCCCGTGAAGCTGAGGAAGGTGAGTCCCACCAGTTCTTAATGAGACCTCCCAGCGGCCTGTGGTTAAGCCAGCTCCCCCTCCTCTCCTCGGACAAACACGGACTTGATGAGAGCTGTTTTTGTTTTCTGCGTTTCTTTACGTGTTTGACAGCCTCCATGTTTGGCTCGAGCTCAGCGGAAGTAACGGCCAATCAGTTCGTGCGTGATTGGGATACTTTAGCGTCTGATAAGAGATTTAGCGGCTAACGGACCGTTTCCGAAGCGAAGGAGAGTCGCTCGGGTTGTTGGTTTAATAAGATGTGGACGCGGTGCGAGAAATGAAAGATAAACCGAGTTTGTGCTTCTCCACGCGGAGGATCATTAGGATCATGTGTCTGCTGTTATTAGTCATTGATTGGTAATGAGAAAGCACCGCTGAAGCTCTGACTGTGGGGGTGGTGTACTCTACTCTAGACCGTGTTTGCTGGATTTAATAGGAAGGCATTAACGTTTATTAGTAACCATACTGTACACACTACAGTGGGACTGTGCAAAAGTCCATGATCATTTTGTTTACAAGGACCTGTGCCTTCTTGTAATCTTTCACAGTTCTCCTTTGGATACTGGCTGCGTTTTAAGCCCAGTCCTTGTACCTTTTTGTTGAACCACTTGTGAATCATACAACCACAAAAAGGAACCAAAATCGAGGGACAAACCAGCATTGTGTCTACACGTGACCGACAACTTGGCAGAGAACCAATTTTAAATGGTATCTTTGGGCACTTTGTTACTAACAGCCTGTTGCAAAAACGCATCATTTGTTAAACAGTTTCAAAATGGTAGTTTTGATGCCGCAGGAGCGATTAGCTGAAAACCTGCCATATCTCCACATGGTCTGCAGTGAGTCCTTAAAAAGTCTGAGGCACGTGGAGGGCAAAAGCAGAAGTGGCAGACTTAAAAATAAAAACTACCTACAGTATTAAGAAATAATGAGGGGGGGGGAGGCTGCAAATACCTGACAAAGGACCGGAGAGATGCATCTGGGCCTTCAATCGATCCAGCTACTGTTTGCTGAAGCCTCATCAGAAATTGTCCCAGTGGAAGAGTGACTGTCAATAGGTCATTTTTAAAGAACTCCAAGAAGTGCAGTGATAACGGTTCTTCATCAATGCAGTGAAGGACGCAGATGCGTATGGAGGTCAGGAGAGATGTGCAACAGTTATGTATTAGCCTCACAGTCTAATCCTCAGCTTATCAAAATCAAAACTGTGGGAAAAACCCTCTAACACGCACGTTTTGTAACACATTGCTGTGTTTACATTGCAAAGCTTTTCTCCATGACAAGGCCGGGGGTGGATGAATAGCGTCACTGTGCAGTGGCGGCACACATTACCACGCTCAGCCTCAGAAGGCATGTTAAATGAAATATGTCCTTGGATTAGGACTCGGAGGTCCGTCTCTCCGTGCGCAAGCAAAACTGCTTTGGCATTTTTCGACCTGCTGTCTTTTAGTTGCAAAGCCTTCCTTTGTAGCGTCGTTGTTGGTGGCAACTGCAACAAGTGAGCCGAGGAAGAATGAACAATAGAGTAACTGCAGGACCTCATTTCAACACCTGCTGTCTTTGAAAAGGGAAAGGTGGAGGCTGTGCCTTTAAATCCTCCTAAACTGCATATTTAATTGGCTATATTTGTCTCCTCTTACTCTTCAGAAATGACGATGGGCATTTTTCTGGACTATTTTCCAATAACAGGTCATAACCTTTCCACAAATCCCTGAAGCGATTGCCTTCATTTTCTAAATGAAAGCCTGCAGCAGGTTGTGCACTGGTCATGCAAAGCAAAACCACCTCCAGTGTTTGGGAAGTGGGATCATTATTTTTGAGGTTTTGCTGTATGCAAGATGAATTGGTTAATCAGTGTAACAATCAATAATGAGAATAATCATAAGTTATAGCTGTAAAGTAATCATATTGGCTTCCATTGCTACAGACAGCCGCAGAATAACTGATGGCAGGTTTTAAGAACTATAAATATGTTTTCCTCATTAATCGTGGCTTTTGTGTTCATTGTTTTTTATACTGTATGATTTTTGAAAGACAATCAATAATATATAAAGCTTTCCCAGCAGGATTAAGCAGACGCTGGTAAGCCTCGTCTGTTTGTATTTCCGTGTAACTCTATCTGTGCACATCTCCTCCTTTGCGTGTCTTGTCGAGCAGGACAAAGCAGTCACGTTGCTCTACATTCCCCATGCAGTGTTATTAAGGGCAGTGCATGCAATTGCGGCAGTAATCCCAGAGACACTGTTGGTCCTGCTGAGGAGACGCCATGGTAACTCATTAACAAGACAAGAGAGGTGTTTGACCTTTCTTTTACTGGCCTGCGACGCTCAGCCGAGCACGCAGGTGGCCGCTAAAACCCGTGATTCTGCATGAAAGGCCAGCGCTGTATGACCTGAAAATATCGTGACGTTACCTGAAATAAAGGCAGCGAGGGACGGTATCAGTTATGTCACAATCATATCCTCTCGTGCCGGTGACCCCTCTGTTTTCACTGATCCTCAGCCCTGCTGTTCTTGCAGCCAGGCGCGCTCCTTTTATTAAACATCAAGTTAGCAAATTATGCTCTCTGGGCTCTGAGGTAAGGCAAATTAGTCATCATGTGTCGTACTCCTATGGTGGCCTTAATTAAAATGTCACAGGCCCGGCCATCAGTCACAGCACGAGCAGCTTGACTATGTCCTGCATTATTTGCAGCGGTGTTAACGTGATAAATAATACAGAATTGAAACTGAAACACGCCAGTTAAAGCGAAGTAACAAGCGGGCTGTTTTTCCTCTCGATTTGTTGCCAGTCTTTCTCTTTGCACGTTGGTCCAAATTAACTGGGCTCTAAGTTAAAACAACTACCCACTTATGCATTTTAATGCAAGAACAAATGTTGTCAGTGAGTGCTGCGCTGGCCCCCAGGCAGCGCGGCAGCGACTGTATTCCCAGCCTTATTACACATGCGTAACACTGACTGATGTTCCTAAATTATTGCCAGCAGCTCGCAGTTGCTGTCTCTTACTGTATGCGCTGACGGCCCACCCTTTATCCGTATCCCACGTGTCTGCCTGAACCTGTTGCTCCACAGCAGACTGCTCTTAGCCTTTAGTCTATTTTAGTCCATATCGGCAGACTGAATTATTAATTTCCGATCCATTATGTGCCAATGCGTTAATTATTAATTGTTGAGCGGGCTCTGGCAGATCTGAGGAAAGTGTTAAAAAGAAAAGAAAATGGGGGGTGGGTTGGAGTGCGGTTTCTGAGCGAAAGGCATTGATTGCTTCCTTTCTCAGCAAATCTGCACAAGTCTTCAGAGATGACTGTGTGGGAAGCAGAGGGCTCGCCATTCAAAGCATGCATGTTGCATGTATGTGCCCCCGTCCGCGTGTTCTGCGTGCAATTATGGCTCTTCATGTCAGCACTGCTGAGCTGGATGAGTGCGAGCAGAGAGAGCATCATTACGCAGACATACAGCTGTTAGCACGTACAATGCTCCCAGCTCTGGCTCTATTAGCAGTCAGCACCTCCTCTGTTATGCAACACCTCAAGAGAAGAGCGAGACAAACACTACAAAAGTTGATGAAAGATGAAATTGCAGCGTTCACTTGTCCTGAAATCCTGCTGTTGATTCCCCAACAGTTGAGTGGCTCCATTGGAGCTCATTTGAGTGGCTACTCTCATAACACAAAGCACGGATGTACCTTATATAACAACCTGGATTGTCTATTGTATCTCAGAGTGGAGACAGATTATATCATACAGCTGGGGAGAATGTGTAGAGAAGTCTTTGTTTTTTTTCCCGTTCATTCAAGGTTTGCCACACAAAAATCAATTTAATGACATCGTTAATGTTTTGGGGGTTTTCCCCCCAAACCTGACACTTTGTTTTTCTTACAGCTCTGCAGTTTTACGAGGCTTTTAAATGGAAACGCTGGTACACTGGATGCATCTTTTTTAATAACTTGTGGAAGTTTAACCAGAAGCAAGAAAGCAAATACAACACACCAGTGTGTACACAGCAGGGCGTCATCCAGTCCAGTCCGGCAGCCGTGCAATAAATGCTTTGTGATGCTTATCATGCAGATTTTTTGTTGTGTCGAAGAAGTCTCGACTCCGCTCCTTATGTTGATGCTCGACTGTAATGCAAAATGCAGGGCAGCCATTAACCTTGCGCTGCTGCTCTAATATTACAATTAACTGCTGATTACTGGAAATAACCAGTAAGTAATCCTGAATTAAAAACTGAGTGCCGTCAGTTGTGCAATCAAGTGCTTTTTGATTGCTGGTTTGAATCTGAATGGATGAACTATTTAACCAGTGGGAAGCAACAAAAAATATTTTTCCAAAAAAGCAAATAAGACTAAAAACTCTTAAGAATAAATTGCTATTCATAAAAAAACCGATAAAAATATCGATCCTGTTTGCAGCACCTTTTGTCTTTTTGTGGTATCTGTTATTTTACTTGGACGACTACAGCAGGAAATGACAGGAGAGGAGCGATCTGGAGTGGTAGAGGATGTGGTAAAGGTCACTTGCATGCTCGCCGAGGTTTATGCTTTTGGAAAGGTGAGACTTAAAACCGGGAAAGAGTCTTCCTGTGTTTAATACACCTGGACGCATTATTTTGTGTTCGCAGCAGATAAAAATAGTTAGTGAGAAATGCCAGAGGTAATTATCGACACGTGATGCAGTGGAGAGCAGATAATGGGGCTGTTTTTTGTTGTTGTGCAGTGCACAATTCAGTATGATTTATGTCTCTTCAGTAATCGCCTCCATCCTGAAGCGGTGAAGATTTTTCTCTGCTGATGGAGTTGTCTTTTTCAGGGTCACAGTGCCCCAATCCATGTGACTAGCGATCCCTGAAGAGCATGAAAGTCGTGACATTTTCTGCTGCCATCAACCAATCACTTAGAGGATGAAGTGTCATGGAAAGTTCTACAGACTCTGCCAAAGCTTTTTTAGCAACTTTTGGTGGCCAAGCAGTGTAGAAACACA